AGACATCCCTTCTTCAGGAAAAGAAAACAAAGCACCCTGTTTTGCTAACTGCCAATGCGATGACTGGCTCTCCTAGGCAAGCTTCTGGACCCCCACTGATGCCTGCTCAAGAGCCCCATTTCAGCGATGTGATGATGGGAAAGACCTTTGTTTAGAGCACAGACACCTGAGTATGAGCACACCAAGCTGTGTGGCTTTGGAGGGTGCTTCATCTCTGGCCCAGATTAACTGGTGATCACAAAGGTCTTTCCAGGAGTGAAGTTTGATGATTCCAAGAACTTCCCTGGCAGAGCCCTGTCTGTAGCAGCGTCTCTTGAGATGCACAGAGTATCTCAGTGCCAGGGAGGCCCAGCAGACTGTCCTCTGACCTTGAACTGAGGCCTTCAGTGGGAGGAATCTCCTGGATCTGACTCCTCCTCTACCCTTGCATATTTGGCTCTTCGGAAAATTTCCAGGAGAATGGGTGGCCTTCCAGATGGTCAGAGAGGAAAGTGGAGATCAGATTTTCATTTTCAGGCCTTCCATCTGTCTGGGTGTGGCAAACCCACCGTCCTCCCCATGCAGGCTTCCTGCTACCCTCCATACATACACGCTGGGGCCTCCAGGTCCACAGACAGATGCCTTTCCTCAGCTGGCCAGCTGTCAAGTCCATGAGCTGGTGGCACCACATGTCACCACATGACCTGGGCCAGATGGTACCTGTCAACATCAGCTGCCACAACGCTGTGACAGGCAGCAGTCTCACATGCATCTGTGTGCATCAGAAGTGGGGCCCAAGAGCATGGCATTCAGATTTCTCCCCATCCTGCTGTCCCATCAGCCCCCGGGGCTCCACACCCCCACACCTCTGCTGTCAGTGCAGCACCCACCTGTGTCCCCAAAACTTCCCCCGGAGGGAGCCCCCTCCGTGTTCTTGCAGAAAAGAGGAAGACCCACGGAATATTCCCAGCACCCAGCAGGCTGTGGGGGCTTAATAAAGCTAATCATTGTCATTGTACACCTCAGAACAGTTTTCAAAGTATCTGTGGGGAGGAGGAGCAGCTTTTGGTAGCAGCTACGATCAGCACCCACTCACCTCCACGCCCCAAGCCTGGCTTCTAGGTGAAGGCAGAGGCAGGCTGCTTCCAGGAGAACCTGACAGAAGTTGGCTTCAGAGACATGACAGGGCAGCCTTGGCCTCTAGGCCATGGATTACCTTACCCAGGAGGGCACTGCTCCCAGGCAAGGGTCCTGAGGAGGCCTGTCTGGGGTGAAGCAGGAGACAAAGGCCAGGCCCTGTGACTATCTCAGGTCCCCACTCCTACCTGGGCCTCTGTTGCCTCTGCTCCAGCATCAAGGCAGCCACCAGTCTCCAGCTGAGCACTTTATACCCATCATCTTATTTCACCCAAGGCGTGGGTCCTGCTATTCACGGCAGCTCAGACTGGTCCGGGGGACTCCACAGCTGGAGGCAGGAGTGATCCCAGGCGGTCTGACTCCAGAGCGCAGGGAGAAGAAAGGACACTGGGTGGATGCTGGCTGGGGCCAGACCAAGGACTCGAGACTCAGAAGGGCAAGGGGATGGGGCCCACAGTATCCATGTCCCCACTTACCTGCAGCACAGGGTGGGAGTGACAGGCCAGAGGCCTTCACTTCCTTGGGGTTTCAGTAACCCGAGTGGTCACAGGATGGGAAGTCTCCATCCCTCCTATTGTGGGAACACAGAGGGGATTGCACAAACCCTGTCTTGGTCTCAGGGGTCTGTGGGGGTCAAGGTTGGGATGTGAGGCCCTTGGGACCCTACAAGTGTGTGTGGCTGGGGTTGGTCAGAGGCTGGGCATGATGTGAGAACAAGAGGGCACATATAGAGAGAAGGGGTGGCCTGGAGGCTTGAAGCACAGGGTCCTGTGGGGTCACAGCTGTGACATCCAGACAAGTCGGGGTGGGCACAGCAGGGCCTCAGCTGCCAGCCTGTGCATATGCAGGGAGCCTGCATGGCTGACTTCCTGTGGCCAAGGCTGATGACACCTAGAAGCCCAAATCTGGGGCTTCCTTCCTTCCTTCTGTTGTTTCCTCCCTCCTTCCCTCCCTGTCTCCCTCACTCACTCCCTCCTTCCTTCCTTCTTTCTTTCCTTCTCTAATATTTACTCAACACCTGCAAATGTGCCAACCACTGTCTGGGCTTTGGAGTCACAACTGTGAACAAGACAGACATGTGCCTTGTTGAGTCCCATAGCCGGGGAGGAGGACAGACCTCCTCCTGGTGGTAGTCAAGACCCCTGAAACCTAGCCAAGTCCCTTTCCCTGTGGGGTTGCCCACCTCACAGCCTTACTTGTCCCCTGCCCCCTGGCATCCTGCCAAGCCTTGAGCTGGCCCCTGTACTGAGTCCTCACCTGCAGCTTGGCTTTCTTCAGCGCCCACAACTGACCATGCTGCCCATTTCAAGGTCTGGCTCACACCTGCCCTCTCCCACAGGGCCTGCCCTAACTCAGTGGGGTGGTCAGAGGTCAGGAAGGCAGGTGTGACTCAGAGGCGACTCCCAACCCCACCAAGCAGGAGTTCCAGAACTGCCTAAGATAGGCATTGGCCCCTCCCAGCTCCCCTTCCTGCTCCCACATGCCCTGGGTCACCGGGTCCTCACACAGTCCCTTGGGTTGGGGCCCAGGATCCAAACAGGTAGGCGAGGTTGGGCTGCCTTGAAAGAGGCCACAGGGGACAAAGGCAGGGGCTAAAGGAAAGAAAGGGTGTTGCTCAGCCCCACCTTCCCCTCCAGTGGGGTCCCTCCAACTCAGGATACATCATGGGGCAGCCCAGCTCACATGGCCTGGAAACAGAGTGCAGGACAATGGGAGGGGGAGGGGACTGAGAAAGGCTGTATGAGGCTCCTGTGTCCCCGACACCCTATCCTCTACTGAGCCAGACAGAGGAGAGGTGAGCAGAAACATGAGCTATAACAAGACAGTGGTGGAAGGACATGGAGACGTCAAGTGGGGGGTGTGCGTGTCTGTCTGTCTGTCCTGTCTCTGTATGTCTGCTTGGGTGTGTCTAAGCATGTTGCCGTATCCGCAGGTCTGCCTCTGTGTGTGTGTATCTGTACAGACCAGCATTTGAGTGTTTATGCGAAGATCTGCGCATCTGTGTATGTTTGCATTTGTCTATGTGTGTGTTGCATTGTATGTGCTCAAGCGGGGGCATTTATGTGTCCAAATGGATTAGTGTGCACACATCTCCAGGGGTCTGTGTCCATCTTTACTTGTTTGTGTGTGTGTGTGTGTGTGTGTGTGTGTGTGTGTGTGTGTGACTGCAGGGGAGGGGCTGGTTGATCCCCTGCCCCTGCCCCAGTTCATCGTGGCCAGGCCACTGTTGGGACCTGGCCCAGTGGGCAGATCTCTGGATCTCTCACTGGGTAACTCACCCATAGTGCTGGAGGCCACGGAGCAGCAGGAGCCACCCACGGTCTGTGGGGCTGTCACTGGGTCCTGAGTCTGGCTGGGATTGCAACCGAGAGACTCTATGTCCCCTGCTTCCCCCTCCTCCAGGGCTGGAGCCAGCTGGAGCCACCCACATCCCACATGGAGCCCCAGCCAGGCCGAGCGAGGACAGCCCCCAGGCCTGCCGTTCAAGAAGGCTGGTACACCTGGGCCCCGGGGGCCAGCAGCACTGCTCCACAAACACCCACTGGGGGGGCGGGAAGCAGCTAGACCACTGCTGCCCCTCTGCAGGCAGGCTGGCCTGGAAGGTGCTGAAGACATCTCAGCCTTGGGTGACTGCTGCCTCTCTGCCCATAGGACCTCAAGCAACTCGTGGGATCTTTCTGGGTCCAGGTTCCCCTTTATAAAATGCGGAGCGGGCACTGGCAGGGCCACAGCATACAGTTGTGTAGTTGTACACTGTGTAAATGCACCCGGTAGAGGTGACGGAAGACATTGAGAGGCAGCCCAGGTTCTGCCTTGTAGGCCGAGGCCCTGGTGTCTGGCTGCAGCATCTGGAGGAAGGGATGCATCCTTCCCACAAGAAGTTTACTCTTTAGATACTCTGCTTGGGGGGAGGGCGATGCCTTGTTTTAATTCTCACAAAAGGGCTTCTCTAACACCAGCCCTTTCAACCAGTCCCCACCCCTCCCTGAGTCAGTGTCCAGGTGTCTATCCATCACAGACCTTTGTCAGTCTGTCTCTGGAGAGGGGTCTCTGTGAGTGCCTGCCCCTCTGTCCTCTTTCTCCTTTAAACCATCAACATGGGACCCAGAAGGGACCTGGAAGTACCACTCTGATCCCTCTGCCCCCATTTTATAGAACAGAACACTGATGGGACACCTGGGTGGCTCAGCGGTTGAGCGTCTGCCTTTTGGCTCGGGGCGTGATCCTGGTCCCAGTATCAAGTCCCGTGTCAGGCTTCCTCTGGGGAGCCTGCTTCTCTCTCCCTGTGTCTCTCTCTCTCTGTATCTCTCATAAATAAATAAATAAACAAACAAATAAATAAACAAATAAATAAATACACACTGAGTCCCCTCGAGCCCCCTTTGTCCCCCTCTACCCCCCTCTACCACTCTCCACTCTGTCCCCCCTGCTTCCTGCCAGGGCTTCCTGCCTTCCCCAGCACAGACTGTAGGAGACCCCCTGACAGGAGAGGAATCTGCATCTTTGTCCACATGTCATGGTGAGTCCAGCTTGACCTCCCTGACTCCAAAAGTGGCCCCGGCCCCTCCACTCCTGCACTCTCGCCCTACTACCCCCTCCTTTTCCCAGGTCCCCTTGCCAGTGACTAGACACACTGGTCCACTTCATGGCTCTTTATTTCATTAGGAAAGTAGCCAGGGGAGTCCCAGCAGGGCAGGATGGGGATGGGACAGTAGTTGGCTCCTGTCTGTTGGGTTAGCAAACCTGTGGGGAACAGAGATGTGTTCCAGGGTGGTTCTCACTCCCCCACCCCAACAGGCCCTCATCTCCCAGCCCTGGCTCTAAGGCTGGGGACCTTGCTTGCCCCAGGGCCCATGCAGGGAGCCCCTTACCCAGCCTCGGGTTCAGTTTGGTGTTGTGAAGCAGCTGCTATGAGGCTCAGCTCGGTAGAAGGGGTCTGCAGAGATCAGGGGTCTGCAGGGAGGAGAGGGGTGCAGGTGAGGGGGACGTGGGGCAAAGTTGGATCTTCCCTCTGCCTGCCCCTCCCCTGGGGCAGCCCTCAGCGAGGTCAGCCAAGCCGCAAACATTCTTTGCCTGACAACTCTGGGCCATTGTCTTAGAAATGTCATTTTTGAGGAACTGAATTGAGCAGAAAGGAGTCAGAGTGGAGCAGAACCACAGTGTCCTCAGCCTTGTTTCCACCCGCCCTGCAGCCTGGCAGGGAGCAGGTGTGGAGCAGGCCTCTGGGACAGGAATGAGGCACAGGTGTGTAGGGGGCAGCCCTGCAGAGGAAGGGGGCACTGGGGAGCCCAGGGGAGGAGCAGGAAAAGCAGCAAACAAGCCAGAGAGAGGGAATGGGCCTCTTGGACAGCCAGGGAGAAGCCTATGCCACAAAGGACAGAGTAGGAGGGAGGGCCGGCTACCTGCCCACGTGGGGGTGCAGGCGCCGAAGGTTCTCCATACGGTTGGGAGTGGGCTCCATGCGGGTGACTGGCTCGTTGAGGGCATAGCCGCCAGGCTTCTGAGGCTGGATGCCACCTCGAGTCCAGCCTTCTCGGTCCAGACCCTTGGGGATATTCTCAAAGTACCTGCAGCAAAGCAGGGGGTGGGGGGATGCCGGCTGTCAGCTGGCCTCTGCCCATCTCTGCAGCCTCTGCCCTTCTTGGGCAGGAAGCTTGGCTCCAGCAGAGCACAGGTGGCCTCAGATCCTCCTGCCTCCCTGATGGCCTCCCTGATCGTGCCTGTGCTGCGCCTTCTGCCAGGCACTCCCTGAGCCCCCCTCCCTTTGCGGACCCTCCCCGGGAAGCCCATCCTGGCTCTGCCTGCCACCCCACCCCACCCCCCGCCCTCCACCCCCCACCCCCCACCCCTGAGCTACATGGGCCTGCCTGGTGCTGTGCCAGCCTGCACTCTTGAGCAGAAAGAACTGCTTGTGGGCCGCCTCCCTCCCTGGCCTGTGAACTTCTCAGGGGTGAGGAGGGGAGACCCTGTCTCATTCATTTCTCTCTAGGCATTCCACTTTGCTTCTGTTTTGCTGCTATTCACTGAGCACTGGGCTGGGCTCTGAAAGGGCCAAGACGAGTAAGATGTGGGCCTCGCCCTTGTGCTTATGAAGGGGGCGTTGCAGAGAGAGAAACAAGGGCCGGAGCTGCACTGCCTGACACCTGGCAGGAGCTCCAGAAAGCCGAGGGGCTGGTGGGAGAAGGACCCCAAAGACGTGGCTGGGGCTGAGGGTCTGCCAGAGCCACAGGAGGGGGCTTTGCCTAGGGAGCTGCAGGGACACAGTTGTCCCCTGACACCCCACAGAGTCTCTGTGCCTCCCCCTCGCTCCTCATGGGAAGTAGAGCAGCCATGTGTGTCACGCCTCTGCGGCGTGGCTCGGGCGCCACTTCTCCCATCTGAACCTCAAGGTCCCCATCCCAAAGAGGGAGGCTAGCCCCAAGGATGGAGGCAACTTGGGAGGCCAAGGAGTTGGGAGCCAGTGTGGAACAGGTGACACATGCTGACAGATGACAGAGTAATTAATTATACCTCCTTTAGCCCACTCCTATAACGCCGTCTCCATCCAGTTCTGGCCCAGGGAGCCCTCCCCATGGTTCTAGGGCCACTTCCTCCTGGAAGCCCTCCTGGAGGCTCGGCAAAGAGCTTACTTTCTGGGGACTGATGACTCCACCATGGGATCCCACCATGGACTGCACAGAATATCTTAGCAGATGCCATACTGTACACCCTGACCCCGTCAGCCCCCTTTTTCTTCCCCTGCCCACCAGCCTGGGCATCAGTGGCCTGCACTGCATCAGAGAGAAGTACACAGGAAGGCTGGCTGCCCTTGGGCTGCTGGAGCTTGCTTTCCTAGCAAGGAAGTGCCTGGGATTTTTAGGACAGCCCGTGGGGACAGCCGTTAATTAATGACAGATGGACGTGAGGGTATCAGGACCCTAGCTCTCTCCCCTCAACTGGGATCGTTCTGAGTTGTGTGATTGCACTGTTTTCTAGAGTCTCCCTTGGGACATCTGGTTAATAACATGTTGGCTTTGGGCTGCCTTCCCTTCCCCACTCAACTTTCCAGCTTCCCCACACTCCCCGGAAGAGGCTTACACTCAAATCCTTGGCTCTGGGGCTGCTTCTGGGGGAACACACATTAATTCAGTGTTGGTCTATTTCACAGGCTCTGAGCTCATCACTTGTCTCAGAGTCTGTCTGTAAAATGCATGCCAGCTCCCAGCCCTGGGTTTGGATGGGGAAGGGGGTGCTCACCCTTGGTTGTAGGTGCTCAGGTACCGATTATCCATGTCGGGGTCATAGGGGCTCCGGACGTAGCTGCGGTTGTTAAGACTGTACCCCGTGGGCTCCTGCACAAGGGGTACGGAGCGGACTTGTCAGGTCCAGAGCAGGTGGGAGATTTGGCCCCAGAAGAGCGGGGGTGCTGGGCACCCCAGCCTCACCTTGTTCCCCACGGTCTCCCGGCCCAGCAGGGCAATGTTTGTCTGTTGTACCCGCTGTGGGGGCTGGAACTGCTGGTGGCTCATGCTGCTAGGTTCTGGGCCTGAAGGCAACACCTGCAGGGAATGGAGCCACAAGAAAGGTGGTGAGTGGCCAGGATGAGGCAGCTGGGACAGAGGGAGGGCAGGCAGAGGCACATGTGGCCCTAACTTGCCTCCAGCCCCTGGACCTCGTCCTTCCCTTTCCAGGCACACAGAATTCCCTGGTTCAAAGACACCCATCACTTGCCAGTAACTAGGCCTTCGCCCCTCCCCTGGGGGTGGTGGTGGTGCAAATCTCCTGATTCTTCCCATCCTTCAACGAACAAATGCCATTGCGTCCAAGGAAACTCCCTGCCCCCTCCTGTGGGAGTGCTGCTGTTCTGAGAGGCCACCCAAAAGGCCACTCACCCTGAGGTTCAGCATCCTCTCATTCACTCGGCTATAGCCCGTCTCCCGCTTGGATCCTCTGGCCAACACAGGCAGGAACTCGTCCCCCTAGGGCATCAGAGCAGCCGCTGGCACCAGAGCATGCTTCCTCCTCCCGCGGCCTTCCGGGTGCTGTCCTAACTGCAGCACAGAAGGACCCCGGGCTGTGGGGTCAGATAGCCTTCCACACCACACCCCGCCCCGGGCTCAGCTTACATGAGGGTGGGTCATGGGGAGAAAGTCGGACCTGGTGACACTCCTGCCAGGTAGGAGGACCTGGAAAGAGGACCACAGAGACGTGTCAGCCCAGCAGAGGCAGCCGCCCCGTGTCCTGAGTGCAAAGGAGGGCTCACTGCAAGTGGGCATAATTGGGGTAACAGAGGATAGGGAAGAGTCTGGGGAGAAACAGTGCTGAGAACAAGCAGGCCAGGGCTCTTGTCCGAACTCTGGATAACCTTGGCTCTGCCTCTTCTCCTCTTTGGACCTCAGTCTTCCCATCCATAAGCTGGGTATGGCTGGACCAAAGCAGTGGTTTTTATCCACACTTCATCTGTTTGAACACAGGGCTCTGCAGCTCATATTTTGCAAAAAGACAGAAGTCACCCTGAGATGCTAGTGGCCCCAACCTGACTTACTGGGTCCCCAAGGAGGGTCTGGGAGGGCGGCTGGAAGACAATGGGGTTCTTGGGGGACTCTTCAGTGAAGCCAGTCTCTTCCTTGGCGCCAATTGATTTCTTCTGCAAGGGATCTGCAAAAGACATACCCCTGTGCTGCACCCCTTCCCTGACCCTGGCCACCGGCCCAACCACATGGCCCCCAAAGGCTCAGCATCCCTGCCAGTGGGGAAGGAGCTGGCCCCAAGGATCTGGACACCCGAACTATAGGATCGTGGGCAGCAGGAAGACTTCAGAGTCCAGGACAGAGAACAAGACAGGAAAAGAGAAGAGGAGAGGCAAAGGGCAGGGACTGGCAGGCTGGGAGGCAGCTGTGGTCAGGACCAACAGCCCTCCTAAGCCAGTGACTTGTTTTTTGGGGGGTCGGCACTAAGGCACAGGTCCCAGGCTGCCTCTACATCCTTTTTCTTCCACTGGTGCCCTCTTTGTCATCTGCCAGCTGTCTGGAACCCCCAGTGTCTCTCCCCATGGTCAGGGGTAGGAGAGTATAGTGGGAGGGAGGCATGAGCTCAGACATGTGCCTACCTGGCTGGTTGGGAGGCTCCTTGAGATACTTGGAGTTATACTCAGAGGTCATGAATCGCGGGCCCTGGAACATAGAAGGCAGAGGGATGGGGCCCACAGGGTAGACCAGGGCCCAGGGGGCAGCTCCTCAGTCATCTGTGCTCCGGGTAGACCTGTGCGATACAGTCTGCAAAGGAAGGGCCAGTACAGCACCCCAGCACTCACCCCTCTCTGACGGGGCAGCAGAGCACCATATATTCCACCAGGAGGACGCAGTGGGACATGACAATGAAGCCCATCACATCCCACACTGGACTCCTTGTAATGAACTTGGGACCTAGGGACCCAGACAAGGCAGGGGCCCAATGCAAGGAGAGAAGCTATGGGAATAAAATGCTCACATCACACTTCACCACCCAAAGCTTGGGGAGCCTGGATGGGTGAGGGGAGAGAAGGGGCCTCTGGGCTTCACTCCTAAAACATGGGTAAGGAAGCCCGTCACGACCACTTGGATGCTTTCTTGGAAACACCAAGTCCCATTGGCTCTCCCCAGCTTTTCTAGGTATGTTGAGCTTCTTGGTTGGCTTCTTGGGTGAGTCGGAGCAGTACCTATCTCTAGGAGGGGAAGGAGGTGGGTCGGCCCCTCTGCCCAGCTCACAGCCCTTACTGGGGGCTGCCTACTCACATGTCCAGCGTTCTCCCACTCCAGCGAGCCCTTGCCCTGCTGCTGGTGGAGCAGGGGCATGTTCTTGGGCTCCAGCCCTGTGATGGCCTGCGCCCCATAGTCCTGGGTATCAAAATGGACCTTCCTGACCTGGGAGGAGGAAATGGCCAATCACACTCCAGGTGAGGGGGTGGCAGTCACTTCTTGACTCTGCTTCTGCCCTTGACCCCTACAGAGAATCTGTAGCCTGAGGGGTCCTTTTACAGGAAAGTCAGGTCCTGTCTCTCCTCTGCTCAGAGCCCTGCAATCTTCTTACTGCACTTGGAGTGGAACCCCATGGCCTGACAGTGACCCACAAGGACCCTAGTTCCTCACTTGGCTCCAGCCACCCACTTCCTCACTGTTCTTTGTCACATCAGATACTGGCACCTCAGGGTCTTTGCACTTGCTGTCTGCACTTCCTGGAACCCTCTTTCTCTCACATGGCTACATTTAGAGAACACTAACCTCCCTTGGGTCTTTGACTAATGTCTCCACAGCCAGCTCTTTCCCCACCCTCCTGGCTTGTAGCTGCAACCATTTCAATGCAACTTCACCCCTTGCCTCTTCCCTGTTGAATTTTTCCCCAGGACATAGCACCTTCTTATATAGATTTCAGAACATATTGCTTGAATGAATGAATGAATGAATGAATGAATGAGTGGAGTGACTTAGTATCCATTCTGCTGCTGATGCTGATGACAATGGTCATAATGATGATAGAAACGAAGATAGGGATGACGATGACAAAAGTGACTGTGACATTGATGGTGAGGATGTCATGTGGGCTTGGGGATGTGGATGGGATACTGGAGACCATGGGACGGGGTTGGGGTAGGGGTTGTGGTTGGAATGGGAGTCAGGGTGGTGGAGGTGATGGCAGCAACAGGGACAGGGATAAAAGTGGAGGGAAGGTGATGGTGCAGACAAGGATGGGGACAGAGGTGATACGGGGAGTAGGCTCCCAGCCTGCATATGGCTCCTCTGTGCCCAGGCAGCTCAGCCTTGACCAACTCTTGGCAGTGCAGCTCCACCCAGCTGGAGGGATCCTCACGCTCCTTCTTCCACCCCAGCTTTGGGTTCCCCCTCTCTTGGCCCTAGCCCAGCACTGACCTCTTTAGTAGGGGTCGTGGCGCTGGGCTTTTCCCGAGAGTAGCCAGAGTCGGTTTGGTGCATGTTCCAGGGCAGTGGGTATTTGCCATCAGGCACCTCCAGGGGGCGGTAACTCTGATTGGTCACTGACTGGAAATTGTGGCGGACCTGTTCCCTGAGGGTGAGGCAGGAGCAGGACCCATTACCAGGGCCACCTGGAGGCTACAGTGCCCTCACACCTCCCACAGATGCCTCAGGAGTCTGCCTCCCTTGGGGCCCCAGGTGGGCACTGTGACCCGAGTGCCCCAGGGCCCCAGACCTGGGCCAGGCCAGGTTCTGGGTCTGCATGCAAGGAGCCTGCAGTCGGTCGGATGAGCTCCCATGAGAGCTAAGTTTCAGCAGGGGACAGGGAGGGAGAAGGGTTTGCACAGACTGTACCCCATGGCTGGGTTGTCCAGGGCATCGAGACTGGCATGGTAGGAGACCACAGGTCGGTAATTGGATCTGTAGCCTGTGCCTTCGTGACTGCCCACGCGGGGCTTGAACTCCTCCCGACCTGCCAGAGAGGAAGCCAGGAGACAGGACAGGGCCATGGGGCAGCAGACTGGAAGAACAGTCAGCAGGACTTCCCAGGCAGGGCTGGCAAACCTCCCAGGGGCCCAAGGTCCTCAGGATGGAGAAGGCATAGAGCCAGGGGCTGGAGCACAAGCCTGGCCCTTGGACACTGTGGCAGCAAGAAGTGGAAATGACAGGGTAGGCACAAGGTCAGTGTGGCAGAATCACGGATGGGGCAGCGGGACAAACCCAGCCTGCCAGCACAAGCGTGGGCACGGGCCTCGGGAGGCTCAGGGGATGGATCACTTCAGTGCTGGGGTCCCTCTGACTGTGACAGGCCAGAGGGGCTGCTCCTCACTCAGCAGGAGGGCCTCCCTGCATCCTGCCGGTGTCCCGGGATGGCTCCTGCACAAAGGTGCCCTCACCATAGGCTGTACAATAGCTGGTGGCATAGAATTTCAGGGGATCCGTGCAGCCCCCCGAACTCATCTTCACATAAGGGGAGACAACCCCCAAGGGGAGTTTCCCCATCATGATGCCGTGGGGCAGGGCCCGGAGGTCGCCTAGGAAGGAAGCACCAGGACCCCCATTAGTTCAGTGGCCCAAAGACCCTGAGCCTGTCTCAGGCCCAGGCTACAGAGGCCACGGAGGCGAAGCTCGAACCCCACCCAGCCAGTTCCTTCCCCTCGGCCTGTCCCTCTCCACCAAGATACCCACACCCCAGACTAAAGGAAGGACTGATCATTGTCAACACACAACTCCTCTAACTCATCCCACCTTCCCCTCCACCTTATTATCTCCCCAGTTTATGGCTGAGAAAGTAAGATTCCAAGTGATGAAGGATTAGCTCATAATTGGCACTAGAGCCAGGATTCAGGTCCAGGGTATCTGTCTCCCAGCTCCTGATCTTAATCCCCTCATGGCCTCCTCTGGGGGCTGAATGGACCAATACCCTCCCATCTGGCAATTCCTAGCCTCGCCAGCTCTGGAGCTCACTCCCAACCTCAGGCTCCTAGTCTCTCCCTCAGCTCCTGGGCCTGCCCTCCTGGGTGGGGGGCCCAACCACAGCCGGCCCCACCCTCACCTGCCCTCTGCTGTGGCTCTGAGGTCTGGCGAGAGAGGCTGCAGGAGGCAGCTGCTCCAGAGAAGCCCAGGCCCTCTGGGAGGTGGCCAGGCCTGGAGAAACAGTGTGTTGCCTAGCAACTGGTGCCTAGCAACAGCGTCCCCACGCCTCTGAAGGCCTTCCAGGGCCAGGGCCCACTGAGAGGCTGACCTGGCGGGGACGAGGGCAGCTGCCCAGGCAAGGTCCTGTGTTCCCGGCCCCTGCCCCAGTTGTCGGCTTCCCAGGACAGGGCTGGGCAGAGTTGCTGTGTGAGTGACAACAAATAAAAGATAATCTCGAACAATCACTCCCACTTATTAAGTATCCACTTCTCACAGCAGACACTTCACATCTTTACGGGCAGTCTTCTGAGTGGCTCCTCCGGGTGGCTACTATTATCCTCTTCTCACATGGGGAACACGAGGCTTAGACTAGCAGTGTCTTGACTGGCCAGAGATCTCGAAAACATAAAGAGAGGAGCCAAGACTCAAACGTGGGTGGGCCCCGATCCCACTGTAACAGCCTCTCAGTGAGTGATCCTGTTTCCTGTGTCCTGCTGGAGCCAGATTGGTGCTGAGGTCTTCCACACACATTGTTACCTCAGACAATCCCCCCAGCCACCCTGTGAGCAGGGCACTCCAGCAGGGCACCCCAGCAGCTGCGAGTGGCTCAAGGCTAATGGGTCCCTGTTGATGAGGGGCCCAGCCTCTTCTGGCCCCCAATCCCTCCTCTCCACCTAGGACTGCAACAGCACCTGCCTTGTGGGGCTGAGTGGATTCAGCTCTTGGGTTTTTCAAGACTGCTGTTCTCAGCCTATTTTGCAGATGGGAAAGGTGAGGCCCAAGGACACTGCCCAGGCCTCAGAGTCAGTGAAGGATTCAAATGGGAGTGATCCAGCTCATGGCCCCTGCTCCCCCTGTGCTGGCCCATTTGCTCCACAGGAGCTTTAAGGCATGTAAGATGTCTATGGATCTCTGGGGGGCAGAGTGGGAGTGGGGAGCCCTGATATGTAGCATTGGCCACATTTCTGTGCTCCCATCATGGCTGCTTTCAAACTACCAAGGCAAGGTCACCAAGCAGGGAGCTGGTAAGTCATACTCAGCCTCTCTGGAGCCCCCACTATGTAGACTTTGCATCATATGGATCCAATAGTCAGAAGTGACCTCAAGACCATGGATGACGGGATCCCTGGGTGGCACAGCGGTTTGGCGCCTGCCTTTGGCCCAGGGCGCGATCCTGGAGACCCGGGGTCGAATCCCACATCGGGCTCCCGGTGCATGGAGCCTGCTTCTCCCTCTGCCTGTGTCTCTGCCTCTCTCTCTCTCTCTCTGTGACTATCATAAATTAAAAAAAAAAAAAAAGACCATGGATGACAAATGTAGTACCATAACAAGGAGGTGATGACCTTGAAGTCTTTGTTACCTTTGTTTTTAATATAATTTAATAAATTGTAAGTTTATATAATTTGATTTTTTAAGGTTTTATTTATTTGATGGAGACAGAGAGAGTATAAGTAGGGGGAGAGGCAGGCAGAGGGAGAGGGAGAAGCACGCATCCCACTGAGCAGGAAGCCCAACACAGGGCTCGATCCCAGGACCCCGGGATCACGACCAGAGCTGGAGGCAGATGCTTCACCGACTGAGCCACCGAGACGTCCCTATAATTTGATTTTTACCAATGGCAGAATTTAACAACCAGTTCACAAATTTCCTGGAGGTATTGCCTTCAACTTTCACGAGCTGGTGTGAGTCGGCTCCAGAGCACCCCGACTCCTAGGGGAAAGCAAAATGTGGATGAAGAGGGTACCCAGGGAAGGGGGGACCACCCTCCCAGGAGATGCCCTGGCTGCACTCAGCCTGAAAAGCCTGGGCCTGCCAGGGACAGAGCTTGTGGCCACACCTGACTCCCACAGAGAGGCCCTGGGCTCAGAGGCCTAGGCATAGAAAAGTGGTTCCATGCAAGAGCTCAGACTCTGAAGCTCTATCACACAATAACTAAGATTCCATGTGTGTGACTTATGCCTCAGTTTCCCTTACTGGAAAATGATTCCTACCAACAGCGTGGTGGTACACATAAAGCCCTTGAAATACTCTGCTCACAGTGTCTAGCAGGTGGAGAGGATGGAGGGCTCGCCACCTGGAGGGCCCCTCAAGGGCAAAGATGGGTAGCGCCAGCATGCTGGGGACGGTGATGGGTCCCAGGTGCCTGGAGCACTGTGTGGGAAGGCACTCAGCTGGGAGTAGTTGTCCAGGTTTTCCTTTCAGCAGCTGGAGGCGGTGAAAAGTTTGAAATAGCCGGCAGCGCTATGGCAGAAACTCTTGACCTGCTGAAGACAGCCTGGGCTGAAGCCCATAGAGGATGGGGAGAAATTCTGGAAGGTGTCCATTCCCAGACTCAACTCCCATTAGGTCTGGGCTCCCAGGGGCTCATCATGGGGTTTGTTTTTGGGTTTTGTTTTGTTTGTTCGTTTGGGGGTTTTTTGCTGTGCGGCGACACCCAGCGGTCATCACGGGGAACTGCAGGAGATGCCGCAGGTGTAGCCTCCTGAGGCTGCGGGGCTCCTGGAGGGAGCCAGGGAGGGGCAGAACCATTGTTGCCTCAGCCACAGAGCACCCTGCCTCGCCTGCCTCCAGAGCACAAGGGGCCCCACCTGGCAAGGAGTGCCCCGGAAGGGCAAGGGCCGGAGCCTGCAAGGGGCAGGAGCCTGGGGGCTGCACACCAGGTGCTGGTCCCAGCGGTAACTGAATTGCCGTGTGACTTTTGACCTCTTGTCTTGAGGCCTCAGTTTTTTTAATCTGTAAAATGAAGCAGCAGACTAAATGATCCTTCCGGATTTTAAGTGAGAAATCCAGGGCCCACTTCAGACCCTTTCCCCATAACTGTTTGCATTTATTAAACATTTTCCATGCAGGCTTTTCTCCATGCAGGTTCAAGGAGGGAAAAGCTTCCTAACACACCCAACCTTCTAACAGGGGAGCAGGGTGCCCTGGCGGGCAGTGAGCTCTCTAATGCAGTGGGCATTCAAGCAGAAGTTTGAAATCACTTGAATCTGGATGACAATAATAGCAAACTCTATTGGGCTGTATTTGGTACCAGGCACTGTTCTAAGTGCTTCACATGTATCGACACACTCAAACCTCACCACAGTGAGGAGTGTTCCCTTGGGGTGGGGGATAGCGTCAGCATCTGCATTTTACAGATGAGGAAACTGAGACACCAAGAGGCTGCGTAAGTCGTCTGCGTAGTCACACGGCTAAGGGGGAAGGGGCTGTTATTTGAATCCAGGCAGGCTGGCACTGAGGGCAAGCTGGTGGCTGCTCTGATGTTGCCTCCTGGGTTGAACTGAAGGTTCTCCAAGCTATTTTCAAAATCTGAGCTTTGATGGTTCAGTTTTCTTTTTAGAAGTCTGTGCCTCCCTTCTCCTTGCCTGTACTTCACTCCTTGGTTGGTGCTGGGCACCTCAGGGTGAAAAGCCACAGAAGAAAGGTTTAAAATCATCCAAATGGCAGAGATGACTAAGAAGTGAGAAATGGGCCTCTGGGGTGCAGCTGAGCGGGAGAGTGGGGTGGTGGGGAGAGGGGACTTGGTTATCCTTTTTTAAAAATTGTAAAATACACATAAAGTTTACTACTTCAACCATTTTAAAGTGCACCATTCTGTGGCATTGACTCTGTTCATGATATTGCATGACAATCACCAGTGTCCATCTCCAGAATGTTTTCATCTCCCCAGAAACCATGCCCATGAGACACTCACTCCCCACTCCCTCATCCCCCCAGGCCCTGGCACCACTGTCTTACTCTCCTCTCTCTATGAATTTGCCTGCTCTCGGGGACGCCTATAAGAGGAATTATATAGTGTTTGTCCTTTTGTGTCTGGTTTATTTCAGTTAGCATCATGTCCTCAGGGTTCATCCCCATTGTAGTAGGTATCAAAAAAAAAATTTTTTTTTAAAGAAAGACTGAATAGTATTCCATTGTGTGGATTTACCACATGCTATTTATCCATTCATCCATGGACGGACCGTTGGTTGTTTCCATTTTGGGTTATTGCGAATAATGCCGCTATGCACACAGGCATACAAATATCTTTTTGAGGCCCTACTTTCATGTCTTCGGGGTAGATACCTAGACGTGGAACTGCTGGATCATATTAGATTTATACTTTAAAAACTTTTTTTTAAGATTTTATCTATGAGAGACACACAGAGAGACAGAGACACAGGCAGAGGGAGAAGCAGGCTCCCCACGGGTAGCCCGACGCGGGACTTGATCCCAGGACCTGGGGCCCATGACCTGACGCTCAACCACTGAGCCACCCAGATGTCCCTAGATTTATACTTTGGGAGTCCCTGTGCTGGAGGCCCAGGCAGACCCAAAGGGGATGTTGCCTGGCTTCAGGTGGGCACTGAGAAATGGCGGTGCTGGGGGCA